AGCCATGATTCCAGGCTCGCCCAAAACAATCCTAAACAGGAAAATGGTTAAAAACAGTCTGATGGTGTAACTCCACAATTCAGTAATGTTAGTTTATAACATGCATAATGTGTTTAGAAACAAATCTTAGATTTTTCTCTACCCAGACTTTAAGGTCAGGGTGAAAAGCTTTCTTCGCCTAAAGTAAATGCAGGAGTTAGAGAAGGAGGCGAATAGACAAGCAGCGACACGGACGGTTTAAAGAGGTCGAGAGGGAGTGAGAGAAAAAGGAAAATACTGATATGGAAGAACCGAGCTGTCGATACATTAGTACGCTGACGGTATGGTTATGACACTCAGGATGTCTGCTGAGTGGTCTATAGGTATCAGATAGTGGCATTAAGCCCCCCTGACTCTTACACATACAAACACGGACAGCACACTGCAAAGACAGACACATTTAGTGAGATGCAACAGCTCGACATTGGGGTAACACAGGAAGTGCCTAAAGCAGACAAAGTACAGCTGAGCTCTCAAATGAGGTCATTTGAAAAATAGCAGCTAGAAAATAAACACACACTGAAGATAAATACGCTGGAGGCAATGCTCAATATCTTCTCTGTTGCTCTTTGTCTTTTTCTGTTTTGCTTTTGCAGTTTGTACTGTTTTCTATTATTATTGTTCTAAAGTATGCTGCATGCTGAGACCTTGTAAGGGTGACTTTGCACAATTAAGAGTGATTCCTAGCAAACGGTATCAATCTGTCATATACATAACAATGCCACTTTTTTGCCTTGACCTTTAAAGACGTATACTCTAATGTCTTTGCTATTTTGATTAAGCATTGGTGAATTACAAATAACTTAAACTGATGTGAAACATTCAGCAGTAAGTCTCTTGTGTTTGAGGTGGAACTAAATCACTCTTTCAATAAGAACTTCAATCTCTACAACATCTACAACAAACAGGCAGAGAAGGAACACACACACACACACACACACACACACACACACACACACACACACACACAACACCACTAACACCATCCAATTAATCTCCTCGGAAACAAAGGGAGGCTTCTAATCAACACAAGACAGAGAACAAGCCGTGGCACAACAAGCATGGTATAAGCAGTCAGATAAGGCAGATAATTGCAGATGCCAAGTAATGAGTGTGATTTTGTACAACTCCAACATTCAGTCCCGACAATCGAACTCTGACATAAATGATAAATAGCGGGGTCTGCATCTGTCTCGAGCAGTGTAATTGGCAAAATTGGAAAGTTCATCTGTGATTCGCAACGCATGATCTGCCCCGTCAATAGTATAGTTATCTTGGACTGCTGTAAAACAACTGCCAACACAAATGATCTTTGGCCCTTGACTAATGTTTTCGAAATCTCAGATCTGAGAAAACTGAGAAAACTACTGTTTATTGCATCACCTCAGACCCTTAGCATAGATTTGTTTTTGTTCTACTCTATCCATGAGTACCTTGCTGTGAGTAAATAAAACCGTATTTGTAAGGGTTTAAATCAATAGCATCACAAACACACACAAGATTGCTCGGAGCAACCTTAGAAAGCTGGTATAAAAACACCTGGACAATGGCTTCATTTTTATCCACTTTTCTCCCTCACCTCTGCTTTGTGCGACTTTGTTTGCATGTTTGACCCAATCATCTTTGGCTTACAGGACATTAGAAGATTGAATCTTGGTTTGTATAGGACTTTTTGACTGTGAGTGAATATCTTTTGAACAGCTGGATTGAACTGATAGGCTTACTAGGATCAAGGAGAGTAAATAATGTGCCTAGAGGGGAGAGATCCACTCCATACTCCATTACCGAGGCTGAGAAAGAGGATGGACAATATGCATCCTGTGTATGTGTGTGCCTTACAAACGCACTCAAAAATATGTAAGTGCTTGTAGATGTGTGTGTGTGTGAGGGTTTCTGTCAGATGTGACATTCCTTTAGTGTGTTCGATCGACATGGAAAATGAAAGCCTCCATCTCTCACCCTCTTTTTTCCAGCTTCCTTTCATCCCTCTCTGCCCCTCCCCTCTCGGGGTGAGAATTGCAAAATCAATAGCGCTAAATGGAGTTTCTGCGGAAGCCATTGAGTGTCCCTTCTAAGTGCTTGAGGAACAAGCAGAGTAAGAAGCAGCTGTGACACCCCACAGTTGCCTCTTCTCTTTCCACTCTCTATCCACCACATTCATTTTTCAACAGTCTCTACTACTCTCTGAGCTTGTCCTCATTATTAGTACAAGGCAGTAGTAGCTTTTACCCTTAAATGACCTTTTCCCTAGTATACCTGATACTGAACAAGAAAGTATTGATAGTACATTCAACAGAATATTTAGTGGGAAATATACCCGCTGTACAGTGCCATCACAAGTTTCCACAGTGGAACAAAAAAATAGTCCATGGCACTACACCAACCCCCTAATGCAATGCCCTTTATAGAGTCATACGACACTACAGTGCACCTGTGAGAGATGCTCACTGTAGAGTAAACCAGTGAGTGTCTATCAGTAGGGAGTAGGGAATGAGTGAGGAGGGGAGCTATTTCGCAGCATTTGACTTGTTATGTTAGGAAAAGCACAGGTGCAACAAATAACACTAAAAATGTCTCTGTTCCATCAACTGCACATTGTAGCTTTGCAGTGATACCAGGAACTAGAGCTGGGTCATCTAAAGTCCTAATTTATGTTGTTAATTATACCCATGCTTTTCCTGCTATGGCATGTCAAAATGCCTGAAGAGAAAAAGCTTTACTGTCAAAGGTTTGATCAATATTTCGTGTCCACTGCCGATCACAAGTATGCAGCTACTGGTGTTAAACCTTTTAGACCATTCCACAGTCGTTCTATTATTTTTGCTGGTAAAAGCCGATAACGGATTTAAAGAGATTTTCAATGTATCTTATGAAATACAATTGAGAAATCACAACCATATTCATATAAGTGGTTTTAAAATAAAAGAATATTTTAACAGATAAATGTGTCTGGATTTTCACTTTAGTTATACAGTCCACTTAACCTTCTAGCATTCTCAAAAAATCCAAATGAAATATCATATTGCACTGCTCTTTTGACGTAAAATACCAAGTGCTGCTCCGGGGCACAAATCACATATTGATGTCAGTTTTTTCAGAAGTGGTTTCTCTCTAGTCTCCCCATTTTGCACCGAGATTCCACAATAACACAAATTCTTCAACCAAGTTTCACTCTTTTTTTCACCCGGATGATAATATAGTAGTTAATAGCATAACATGTTCAAATATGCAGGGAGCCACTACCATAAAAAAAAGCCCAGTAGCAACGATGAGTACACCAAACTGCACTGTACATCACAGACTGATGATCACAGAGTAGTTGTTTCCCTTCACTCTGCCCCTATGTCATTCCTCTCATTAACCTCCAGTATTTCAGACCAGTTTCCATTTATATTTAATGAGAGTGTCTGCACAAGTGATTTGTACTGGTGAGTAACTCATCACATATTCGCTTTGACTGCACTGCACGCTTCCTCCGTGGTCCTACCACGCAAGTTCCAAACAAAGGAGCAAACAGGATACCCGAGAGAATGAGAGAGAGGATAAGAGGAGGCGAGACTGAAATAGAACTGAGTCTTGAGGTTGTTTGCTTGTTTGCTAAGAAAAGCCAGCAGTCTGCTACTTGGCTGCCCTTTTCTTTGTTACAGCGACCTCCATGGGCCTCAGGAGAAAAGAACACTGGACTGAGAAAAACACTTTTCAATCTCCCTTTGACCTAGAACAAACAACCACCTGGTTGGAAGGTGAGCACCAGCACAGGTGCCTGGGAAACACACTGGGATGTTTGCATGCTGACAAGGCATTACACAAGAAACCAAAGCCTTGGAATGTCATCTTTCCAAGCAAGATAAAAAAAAACATGATAGATAGGATTAATCAAAACTATATTAAAAAAACATAGTCACACAGACATGAGCACACATACAAGGAGAGACACAAATACAAATCTGTTTTAACCTGCTTAGTGAGCAAAAACTCTTCAGAGCTTCCTGTGATTATGAAGCATTTTGTAATAATATCAGTGTGAAGTGGACATATGTATCCCTAGGGCAAACTATTAGAGTTAAATCTACCATTTTGTGAGGATAGTCTGTTGAAGGGGGAGATTCCTGTGCAAGAGGTCATTGGCTTATCATGAATATCATTTACACTCCAGGGATTTTTTTGATCTTTTTACAGTCGGATATCTCCGCTCAGCAACTGTTTGGTGAACTAGAGTGACTGGACGCCCTTCAGCCGGATGCTTCTCATTGAAGCGTCCACCTTACTGATGTGTCCTTGAGCAAGACTCCAGCTCCAGAGTCACTGGTCTTACCCTGCATTGTAATGTTTTCAAGGGAGGGGACAAAAACATATGTCACTGAGGACTAAAACTTAAAATTTGTATCTTCATATTCTATTAAAATATCTGCCAGCTGTGCATAATATCCCCTGAAATGCAGGGGTAATGTAAAGTACACCATTGTGTACATCTGTAGGATAATTACAGTAGGGAAAGTGCCGTGCAACATTCAGAGAGAAGTAAAACTATTATTATATGCATCTTTGTAGCCGAAGCAATTTCATGTGGTGCCATCCCCTCCTTTGAAAGGCTTTCTGCAGGACTGAAACAGTAAACTGCAAATTAGTTCAACAACTCTCCAGAAGCATGACAGATAATAGAGATCTGCTGCTGGGTGAGCTATTACCCATAACTAAACAGACTTTCCACTTTCTAGGGTCTATGCTTGCATGTGTGTGTGTGTGTGTGTGTGTGTACATAGGACAACAGTGTCTTCTACCCTCTTATCTCCCTCAGCGAGGGGAAGAAAGTGATGGAGGGCCTCCAGTAATTAGAATGGAGAGCCTCTCCTTTCACTACATAAATAATGATAGCCATTCACATGCTGTGGAAAATCACCCTGAATCTACGCTCGCACCCAAATAGGACACAGACAAGCTCACACAAACACACTTCTCACCTGCTCCAGTTTCCAGTGGAACTCTGCAGGTCTGAAAGTGTCGACCTGAGTGAAATCTCTTCTGAGCAGGAACACCAGACGGCAGTTGTGGACATACAGCGAGTAATGGTGGCGGTTCATTTCTGCAATGGGAAGATCACAAACATGTATGGTCACAGAAAGACTCAAACATCTGCTTCTTTGGTTTTCTTATTGATTTCTTTCTGGAGTCATACAAAATAAAATCATAGAGCACAGCTGTGTGAAATACTTAACTCTTTTGAGCTTCCTCAGATGGGTTCTCTACATCAAACACAGCTGTCAGCATGACTGGAAGTGTGGTCGCAGAGTGCATGCTGCTGTTATGTCTGGTTTGTGATTATCAACTGGTTTCTGTGTAAGATGGGCAATAAAAGGTGAGTCCCACTTGCTCTGCTTATATAAATGAATCAGCTTGAGGTGGGATGAGATGTGAGGTGTGCAACAGATTCTCCTCTAAATACAACCCCACAGTGACGAGCTGGGGCTTGCCTTTCTTTGGTGTTCTAAAATGGAATCAGATGTTTGTCGTTTCCTACTCACATAGCAGTTCAAGACAACGTCAAATCAACATTGTGAAAATTTAAGATCATTCAGTTTGTAATAATAAAGTTAATACAAAGTTTTCCCCATTTTTCTTTTGCAATTCCACAATTTGAAAATGGTGTTTACATTATTGTTTTACAATTTCACTTCAGGTTGGGTGATCATTTTAATGTAATTTATTGTCGCTGCAGTACTAACATCTTTCACAGTGTGAACTCTGATATCATTTGGTGTAATACTGACATGTTGCTATCAAGATGCAAAGCTCGAGATGAACAATGCCTTTTTTGCTCTTTTAGAACACATCCTTGATCATATGGTGCAAATTATTTTCCCCCCAAAATAATTACTTTGTATTTTTATATCAGAATCCAATCATCTTTTCTTCTTGTAAAACAAAAGATGCTTACATAAGCTAGTACCAACCAATTATATCACGACATCCATCCATCAATCAATGCGCAACTTTTAGTAACAAGGGAGATGTGTGGAGCCTCAGTCCTCTGTAGCTACGTATCAGATTTCTCTTGTAACTTTACACCGCTCAAATATTCTGTTTCACTGGCGAATACTCAGTACAGAAGCTAAAGACACTGTAACTTCTGTTTCACTGGGACTTAATAATAATCATCATCCTAGTTATTTTTTCTGTATCTCCCATTTTGATGTCACCAGGCTCAGCCAGACATTGACAGGATACAATACATGGGCATTTTCCCCACACAGTATTGGTGATCTGGCCTTCACACTCAGCCTTCTGGTACCATTCATATCCTTCAGCCAAAAAAGTTGCAACAAAAAAAAACGGTTTCTAAGATTCTGATGGTTTAACACGAACCACTCTGCAGTTTTGCATTACAAGATCAGACCACACATTTCGTAAGCTAATAAGCCATCTGTGAGACTATTGTGAAAGCACGCAATGTGCAGATGGCTTGCTTAATTACACAGTTCAGGCAGCTCAGTTCAGATATGCAGTGGGGAAGAAATGTTAAGTTTCAAAGACACTTGCCATTGCGGGCTTCTGTCGTGGCTTATCTATCATGTTATTTTGCTGAACGGATGTTTTTGATAATGTTATGTTCATAGTTTGTTTCTAACGCTGAGGACACTAGGAAGTAAAAGGGACATAAGAATCAAGTAGTTTCCAGTACTCCTAAGGTAGAGCACCAATGTTTATAAAATATAGGACAGTTAATGTAAACTCAATGACAATTTGTTATTCAAATTGGTCAAATTTTCCCTCTCTAACATGTTAGACGATGGAAATATACTTCTTAAGAGTGAGCCCGTGAGAAATTGTTTCCTCACCAGTCTTGTCAGAGTTACACAGTAAGGTTTCCTTCTGAGCTCTGAGTCCTGGACTGGGCCCGTGTTTCATCCATGTTGCTATGGTGAACTGGTCCGTCAGGTTTTGGGGCACCACGTGATCCGGAACATTAGCAGCCTGATGTCCGTCGAATCTGTAGATGAGGTCGCTGTCGCGGCTGCTGTCGGTCAGCAGAGATGCCGTCCAGTTTGTGGAAGGGCCGGAGGCAGGAAGGAGGTCAGTGCTGCCTGATGCTGCACCTGCATGTGTCAATCACATGATACAACACTGTCAAAGTGCCTGCACAGAGTATCAACCTGCAAAAGAACTGCTTCTCTTTTTCCTATGTGATTTCCCGAGTACCAGAAGTCAGCATATTCATGACCTAATGTCGTTTGTGCATGTCAGAATGAATGTTTAGAAATGATGACTACATCTGTTGTAATCTCATCTCACTGGCCATTTGATGTGGCTCATGTCACACGACATGGTTACCAAATTACCGGTAATCTACTTACTTTTGCAACCATGTACTATATACTCAATCAAAATAAGATTTGTGCTGGCCCTATACTGTATCCCCCGAACTCATATCAAAAGTAATATGGAAATTCTAACGCATGTTTTGAGAACAAATCATTGATTAACGAGACATAGTATGATCAACAACTCACATCTGTATATCACCGGCTTGTGTGACGAGACGTATTGACAAATAGTATTGAAATACTGATTAGGTGGTAAGAAAGTGTCAAAAGGAAAAAAAATATTGAAAATGATCATTGTGCACACATCTTTAATTTGTTCTGAAAAAAACCCAATTTGTCACGAAGTCCCCTTCATATTAGTTTACTTTCATCCTGTCTGCTTGTTTTATTAACTCTCCTGTCATTTCAGATCCTACCATTCACACCCGATCATCTCTCATTCCCCTCACCTGGTCCTCCACACCCATCTCACCTGCAGCCCATTCCCTCATTAGCCCTCACTATTTAGGTCCCCTCACTTGCACTTGTTCCCTGCCAGATTGTCTTGTGTGTTATTGCCAAGTTCTCCAGCATACCTTTATATTGTTCATGATCTGCCTGCCGCTTATTGGATTTGTTCGCCTGTTTGACTGACCTCCCGGTTTTGACCCTGCCTGAACTCTTGTAAAAGAACTGAACTTGTATCTTGTCTCCGAGTTGTGCTTTTGGGTTCTAGTATCTGTAATCCTTACACAATTCAAATTTCTCAACAGGAATATTCAGTGTGTAGAGTGTAATACACAGTACTATATACCGTATACTACAGTGCAAAACCACGGGAAGCAAAAATGAACACGTCACAGTTTAGGATGGCGTTTGGGAATTTCATTCTAAATAAAACAATTATTTCAAATTAGTCTCAAGGATTGAAATGGCGGAGATTGGCATATTAACATACTGCTGAGGCTAAGCTGTCAAGAGGTAATTTCTTCTTTGAATTACATTTTTCCTTGTCTGTCATTATTATTACTCCCCTTTGATCTCTCATAGTCCCCGACTCTTAAATAGTACCTCACTATTTCATGGAACTTCTACTTCTTAAAGTAATGTCTTTTCTCTCTTCTTCTTCTTTCTCTCTACTTACCACAGAGTTTTTGCAGAGACTTCTCAGAGTATGTTTCCCGATCACAGCCCTTCCCGATGTGAATGGTCTGTAGCTCTAACATCGCCTTCACGCCAGACAGAGGACCTCCACACGTTTCTATGTGCATCTTGGGAAACAGCTGCCTGCTTCCAGTCCCTGGCTCATAGTCCACCAGCTTGTTCCAACCTTTAAGGATCAAAATGTGTTTGTTTTTTATGGAGTAAGAGTTTTCATTTAGTTATGCAACTGGTGTTATATGTTACAAGCACAGGTAACCTGGTATCGCAGTGTAAACAATGGTTGAAAGAAATCTAGAAAAAGAAGAAATAAATTACACATTGAGTCATTGTTAATATATGTGAAATGATAACTGATGTCTACATCAGTCTCACCCCTCAAGATTTAGATCGCTGGTCTGAGGTCTCATATTGTTTTTAGTTTTTAAGGAACATTTGACTTAAACTGATGCTTTCTCTAAAACAACTACATGTTCAACACTAACCTTTCACTTTGTGTAACAATAAATTAAATATCTCATTGTGAGGTTACAGTTTTTAAAAGGTTTAGTATAAGCCTCATATTCTACAGTGTACTGTAAAAATGTTGCATCTTAAAATTGCGAGAACTACCAAATCTTTCGGGGCGACGTCGAATTAAAATGTTACCTCATTCATAGTATGTATATGTATAATTGCTTGTATTCCAAGTGATAAACACAACTACTTTAGCATATTTATATCTTTAAATACTGTTCACTGTAGGACCCAGATATGTCTTGTTACTAACATTGTTGTCTTGTCTGTTGTTAGAGCTGTCCACAGAAATGTAGGAAATAATGTTTATGGTTTTCTGTAGTTGTTTCATAATGAGCATGTGGGTCTTGAATGCTATCCACACAGGTTTGAGATTTTCTCAGTGATTTCTTGCCCTGTGTCAAGTCAAAAGGAGACTGAAAGGGCCAGTAACATGACAGGCCTGGTAGAGAAAGGTGCTGACCTCCTTGTAACTGTCAGTCCTGTTTGCCAGTCCTGTTTCATTATCCAGGTGTTATATTCATCCTCAATGTACGGAAATCTTTGAATCGCGTTGGTGAAAAGGATTCACAAGCACAATTGAATATGTGGTTGTGTGCGTAGGTGGACACCTGGCAACTCTTTCCAAGCCTACAGAATATGATATCATGAATCCTGAGACAAAA